GACCTTATGCTTTAAGGCCACACAATTTTCAACGGAGTGTCCCGGAGCGCCTGAATGGTAATCACAGTTTTCATTAGACTTGTACCATTCTGGATATGGTGACTCTATTTTCTTAGGAGGGATGCGCACGAGGAGTTTGGCCTCCAACAATTTTAACAGCAGACTTCCATAGGAGGTAGGTATTGGAGTGAATTTCCTCTCTTGTCTGCGTGACTTGGTCTGCTGTGAGGAGGAAGAAGGAGTGACAATGTTGATTGCATTCACAGATCCTTCCTTCTTTTTGCCAAAGGGCTTCTTGAATGATGCGTGGGATTTCTTAAACTTGGAAGGGAATCGAGTATTTTCGACATCGGTTGCCTCCTTTAGATTGAAGTTGTGTCCCTCTAATGCCCTTAATTTCTCTTCTAGGGCAAAAATTCGTTGTTCAGAGACCGTATTGTGGAAGCATTGCTGATACATTAGCTCCATCAACTGTGCTATTTGTTCCTTTATGACATTAAGCTCAGCGGTGAGCATACGGTTCTGCTCCTCTAATTGCTCCATCTTCTTGGCTTTTTTGAACGCGAGTGAGAACAGGTAGAAGACCAGCCACTTTCTAAATGATTTAAAGATTTTTATTATTGTTTTTTTATTATGAATGATTAATGTGAGATAGATATGCCCTAGACAATAGCTTTGGTATCTTCTCAAAAGCCTATGTTTTAAGGGTACCATACCCACCTTAGTGTGCTAACTTCCTTTTTTCAAAGGTTGCCAGCATATCTTAGCGCACTTATCTCTTCTAGGAAGGTGATAAACGCACTTGGGTCTCTTTCGCTATTGTCTAAGGATATCTAATACATCCTAGAATGAATGTGTTTATGCATGCACTACAAAAATATTTTTTTATGACAGCAGATATTGAAAGTGGAATAACTTTTGACTGGGTTGTCCGATTTGGACGCACAACATATCAAAACGAAGAGAAAGAGGTGAAGAACCAAACTACAAATACCCAAAGGGGATTTGACCCAATAATTTTCCCAAAAAGCGCTCCTAAGACTCATTTTTTGGAGGTTTATTAAAATGATGTGTATGCATGCTGCATTTATTTTCTCTCTTTTGGTTTTACCACTTATTGGATGATGTGGTATGAATGATACGACTTTGCCAAGAATCTTTTTATTATAAAAAGGTTTTTATGGCTTTGAATTGTTTTTAGATTTTTTATGACCCTTTATCTCTTCTGTCGGTCAACATGGCTACTTAGCTTACAAAGAACCTGAAACCAGGCTAGCTTAACTGAAGACTGTCCGAGATAAAGTTGGTTTATTCTTATCAATTTTATGGTTTTTTAGGATTTTTCCTATTTTTTGTTTATTGTATGATTACCCTATGCTAATGCATCAATACAAATGCAGCAAACGAATGCACACACAATTCATACATCCACGAGCAGAGCCACGCTTATTACGAGGTGGGATTTTCCTGCAGAAACGTGCTTGGTTTAGGTGGTTTTAAACTGTTCTCACCAAGGCCAAAGGTCCCCAAGGTGCCCCCATTATAGGGACCTCTCAATCTCTCAGTCCTCGGGTCATGCACGAAACTCTGTGTCGACATCCTTGGACCAAAAGAAGAGAGTTATCACCTTGAGTTGGTGGTTTCCGACAACGGTTGTAGCCCCGTGTGCCAACAAGCTGGTCGTATCTGCCACCCACTCCCTATAGGTATTCACTCTTGCCCCCGGGTATAGAGGGATTGTTGTGTGCAAGGGTTTTTGTGTGCAGTTTATATTTCAGACAATTTGCAGAAATAATCATACAGCAATTATTAAAGCCATACAATAAAACATACGGAAGAGGGTAAAGGCGTAATTTCAAATCTTTACTTAGTTTTGAATTTATCCGTCACTAAATGGGATCAACTCTCTAGCTTCCCTAGTGGAGTCGCCATCTGTCGCCGCCGTCCGTTCCGACGTCTAGGGACATCTCGAACGTTTATGCGAGCGGTCACGAAAAGATGGTTTAGACTCGCGTTTTTATGTTAAAATATGTTCATTGCTTCCGAGGTGCTCAACAACTGAACTATCCTCTAATAAAAGCAAGGTTTTCGAAAAGGGGTTCTTATGGAGTCGCCACCAATGTTTTGACCATAAACATTGGAAAAGGATAAAAAGGCGTTGATTTTAATAAAAACCAAACTTGGCCATTATAACCAGAGATAGGTAAGGGAGTTAGTTACGTGTGGGGAAAGTGTTAGCACCCCCACAATGCCCCTTTCGGGTTCCCTATGACGGATTAATTTATTAAGTGAAGATTACGAGAAATTACGCCATTACCCTATTTTATTCATACAATCTTTAAATATGGCTATCTACATGATCTTATTTACATTGCATACATAAAACAATAAATAAAGCAGTAAAAGAGAAGAGAATTGAAAAGAACCTCCGTAGCAAGCTTTATATTGCAAATCTTTTACAATGAGGATGCGTTTTGGCAATCCCCCGCTCTACAAAGACTCTCCTCTCGAATACAAGATCGACTCGACCAAATTTTTACAGAAGAATCGAATGCTGCAATATAATTCCTTAACTGATTGTTACCTTATTAAGGCAATCAGAGAGTTCATTCGAAGTAGGAAGAGAAGACAAGTACTAGGAGTTGTCTGGGGTGTGGAAAATGAGCAAATGAGCCTCCTATTTATAGTTTTCGCAGCCTGGCAGCTCGGGACGGCCGTCCGGGGCCTGGAAATCAGGGATGAGCGTCCCAGGAAGTTGGGACGGCCGTCTGGACTTTGGGACGACCGTCCCATTTGAATTTTTGGCTTGGGACGGGCGTCCCACCTTTGGGACGGGCGTCTCACCTGTCCTAGGAACTTTGGGACGGCCGTCCCACATTTGGGACGGCTGTCTCAACTTGTTATGGCCTGTTTTTGTGTTCTGGGACCCCTGAGAAGCTTTCCTTGCTATTTTCGGACGTTGGTTGATGCCGATAGATGTCCATTGAAGCTTTATCTTCATATAGGAAGTCTTCTTGACCCTTATTGAGATGCCGAACGAACTTTATCTTCGTTATAGGAGGTCTCCTTAGCCTTTATCGAGAAATCGGATGAACTCCGTGTTGTTGTAGGAGGTCTCCTTGGTTTTTATTGAGAAGTCGGGCGAACTTTATCTTTAAGTGAAGTTTCCCTAGCCTTTATTGAGAGGCCAGGAAAAATTAGGGGTCTACAACCACGATCAGCACTACTGCACCAGGACCAGCACCATAGCTCACCAACACCAACACCACCAAAACTGACCGAGCCAGTCACCACCAAATTGACCGAGGCACCATGCACCAGCCAAATCTGACCGTGCTAGAGAATTCACCAGGACCAGCACCAGCATAAGCACCACGATGAGCACCATGGCACCGGCTCCGGGACCGGGACCAGGCACAACGAGCGCACCAAGACCGGCACCACCAACACCGGCCAGTGGCACCATGCACCGGCAAAAGCCGGCCAGAGCCGACCACCACCAAACCGACCGAGGCACCATGCACCGGCAAAATCGGCCGTGCCAATCACCACAAAGCCGACCGAGGCACCAC